GCCAGTGTCAATGGCTTCAGTTTGAGACACTTCTGAGATCATTCAGCATTTGACCTTCTTTAAAAAAAATATAAATGGTGAACAAACACTGTACAACTTCCCCCCCCCACTGGTTCCCACTGTATTTTCCTCTGGCAATGCTAAGCTGCCACTGTCATTGAAGCAGCTCCAGCAGTCCAGGGATTTTAATCACTCTCTCGATGCAGAGTTTCCAGGATGGACCAGAGTGATTCTGATTGGTCAGTGTCATCACAGTGAATTTCTCTGCTCCATCCCAGAAGCACTGCAAGGATTTCAATTCCAGGGACCACTTGAACAGCTGCAAGGACATGGACATCTCAGTATTGCTTGAGGCAGGGGCGTATTCACCACAAGGCAAACAAGGCATTTGCCTAGGGTGGCATTTTTCAGGGGGGCACATGCAGCATGAAGACCAGGTGGGATCCATGAGAGGCTGTGCGTTGCTTGACTGTGTATGCAGAGCCCAACTCTCATTCCCGGGGTTGTCTGGAGTTGTGAAGGTTAGTGTGTCTCTCTCATGTCGGGTGGGGGGGTGTCGCGGTGGTTGTATAGGGGGTGGTGGAAGGCCCTCTTGGCCGAAGGAAGGTGATTGGTGTTGGTCGTTGTCACGCTCTCTCCAGAGGGGGGGGTGCAGGGTGATGTGGTGTTGATCAATGTCAGTATCTCTCTGCAGCGGTGGGGGGGGGGGGGGGGGGGGGGGGGGCTCTTTGTGTTGCCTAGGACAGCACAAAACCTAAATATACCACTGACTGGAGGTACAGTGAGGATTGGGAGGAGGGGGATTACATACATTTTGTTTCTGTAAAGGTGACCTAACCCTTTAAGCTAGTTTTACAATCTCATGGAAGCAAGAAAAAAAAAAAAGCCATTAAATACAGGATCTTAAAGCCAATGTTGCGTGGCTTTTTGGTCATGCGCCCACTGTGATTGACTCTCATAACAGTCATATGATCGGGAGCCTACCCTGCTGGCTCCTGATGAGAAGCCTTGATCGAGAGCTGACAATGACAGCTCCATGGGTGTGCTCTGAGCTTGCACTCAGCACACAACCTCCTGCCACTGTAAACACATATGTGCGGTGGGTGTGCATTAAAGCCCACCTCTTGTCGCTGCATATATGCGTTGAGCAGTCAACAAGAGGTTAAGATACTTTCTTTCAAGAGGCCAAAGCTATAGCATGACCCTTTGCCCCTCTCTCCCCCTTATGATCTGTACCATGATATGAAAGTTCACCACAGAGGTGTACACAACAAAGGAATGCACACTTTCTAGCACAGATTTGTAAACTTTTCTGAGGGCATTGCAAGAAATAGTCTGTCACAACTGCTATCCTGTTCTTTTGACACCCAGTTAGATCACTATTCTCGCATCTCTCATTAGACTAATCACTTTTGTATTGTTTGGACATGCAGTCATTTGTTTAGAAAGAAATTAGCTTTAGCTGAACTTGGTAGGGAAGAAACGGGTGTCTCCAAAGCTAATTAAAGTGAATGTACAGATGTAAACCCCTGTAATGTAATATCTTGCCAGCAGGGGGCACATGGAGGTTTCACATAGTTGGTTTACTTCTAAAGCTGGTTCCACACTGTTAATTTTTTTTTTTTTCTATTTTTAATGTTTTGGATGGACTTTTATTTTTTTTTTATATTTTTACCTACATTCGCACAAGCAAGGAAGATTCATGGATCCCCCACAAGGGACTCTCCCCTGTCAGAATACTGTATGCAACTGCTGATTGATAAATGATCAGGTCCATTCGATAGAAGCTGATCAAACTTGGAGGACAACACACAGATTGAAATTCGTTTGGTCCCAGCTGAAGATGTGAATACAGAAAAGATCACATACAGCTGAAAAAAAAATCTGTCCATTGATCATTTTTTTTTTCTCTCCTTCCTTTCATCAGGCCGTGGGCTGAACAAAAAAAAAAAATGAACAGATTCCTCAGCACACAAGCAGGGTGAATGGAGGAATCCCCGTTGGGACATTGTATTCTGGCAGTGTGACTATCCACTGTCAGAATACAATGTTCAGCAGCTGCTGATCGACATGTTTTCCAGCTTGACCATCAACAAAAGTTGATCGGAGATGGCCAAACATGGATCAAAATTCAGCTGGTACCTGCTGAAATATTTTGATACATCTATGGCCATCATCCGTTAAAATGACTCAGAGATGGAGTACCTGACTGCTTTGCACGCCTGTTCGACTGCTGTGTTCGAGGCAGTGTGGCACCCATGGGATAATTTCACTTCCTCCCACCTTTCTCCAAATGTACGGTTTTGATGGCCTCCTCACTGTTGCTATGTGACACTATGTCTGTAACCATGCAGATTTCACCATCGATGTGCTACTTTTTTTTTTCCACTCTCGTGTTCCTTTTTTTTTTTTGTCTTTAAGTGTGTGTGTGTGTGTGTGTGTGTGTGTGTGTGTGTGTTAATAAAAATTATTACAAAAAAAAAAATGACTCAAAGCAGAGACGCCTCTCCCTTTCCTGTAGTAAATATAATCTGAATCTTCATTTTGCAGTCTAGGAGTTGATAAATTGCAGAGCTAGTATTGGGCTTGAGCATGCTCTGTTAGCACGGTGGTGCCCTGCATTATATTTTGTTTTTAAAAGGGTTTTCTCAAAATTCTGTAAAATATCAGTTTGTCACCTAAGCATCGTTACAAAGATGTATCCTACATATTTATGTACCTTCGTGCCCCTCCACAGCAGCCTTCAATGGTTCCTCCAAATCATCCAAAGTAATCACTTCGCGATGTTGCCCAGCACGCCAAAAGTGTAGTGTAATTTCATTGATAATACTGCTGCCAATACCACTGAATTAGGAAGAAAAAAAAATAGAGATTAAGATTTAAAGGACCATTTAGAGTTCTTAACATTTACAACAATCTATACCAACAGCACAGAGATTGTATTGTGTTTGCGAATAGCTTTGGCTGCTCAGCCTATATAAAGTAAATGACAGGCTGATGACAGCCACGGCTGTGTGTTGCTGTTTATATACCCAGTGATTAGGGAAAGCCATTTGTCCCTGGAAGCGATGTCTGCATCCAGGGACAATCATCATTCTCTAACCACAGGTACTTTGTGGATGTCTGATTACATCTGGACAGCTACAGCTGTTGTCAGCATTTATTTATTTCAGGTACTTCTACGCTGTCAATTTACGCAGCGCTTTTACATATATATTGTACATTCACATCAGTCCCTAACCCTCAAGGGGCATACAATCTAAGGTCCCTAACTCACATTCATACATACACATACTAGGAGCCAATTTAGACAGGAGCCAATTCACCTACCAGCATGTCTTTGGAACGTGTGAGGATACTGGAGTACCCAGAGGAAACCCACGCAGACACAGGGAGAACATACAAACTCCAGGCAGGTGTTGCCATGGTTGGGTTTCAAACCAATAACCCTAGTACTGCCAGGTGGAAGTGCTAACCACTTAGCCACTGTGCTGCCCCTACTTGCTTTGTATAGGTTGAGCAGCTGTAGCCATTTGCAAGCACCTGTCATTCTGCTCTTCAGGAATTCACACTATACCTTTTTATTTGCAAGTGTGAATGGGGCCTTGAGATACAGAAGGCAATAAAAAAAAAAAACGCACCTTTCTTGCTCTGTATAAAACTATATCAGCAGTTTTGTATGCATACCCAGCATGTCTGCAGGGTTAATTTATTAAGACTAGGAAAAAAAAATAAATCTGTACAATTAAAAGAAGTAAAGCTTAAATTACAACGTTATTTAGGTCTCATGCACACTGGCTATTTAACCTCTGTTGCATGAGGTTCTGGCATTTAAGTGTGAACGGAAGGCACCTGCCATCTCTGCTGGTGGTAGCCTGACAAGTTCTAGGAGAGGCTGAAAGCTGCTGCAGCTGGATGGTGTAGTAAGTGCTACTTAAGTTTAGGGCTGTGCTTGAGTTCTGGGCATTTTCCTCAGGGTGGATACTGCTCTGAATGTCACTTGGTGTGCCATCTAACCACAGCAGCTTTCTGCCTCTCATAGGGTTTCACAGGCTTGCCTGCATTGGGGCTGGATGGGGCACCCGTGCATTCCACCCACACCTGAACACCAATGTCTAAATGTCCCGTGTGCATGGGGCCTTCATGTACTCAAAAGAAAATGATCCTGCTAGCAGGACCAGAGAAACCACAGCAACCTACGGTGTAAGAACGCACATACCTCAGTAAGCCTTGGGTCTGAATACAATGACAAAGTATGAAAAAAAAAATATATAATTTTTTTTAATTTTAAAATAAAAATGTATTTTTAATTTTTTATTACATTTTTTTCTTTTTGTTACGATTTTTTTTTTTCCATATTTCACTATGACCAAAGTAGTACAATGTTACCATAGTAACATTGTACTACTTTGGGGAAGTGATCAGTATTTTTTTTTTTTTTTTTACACAATTTGCTTATAGCAAAGAATTTACCTGAATGACATCGATTCATTCAGGGTTTTTTTTTTTTGTTTTTTTTTTTTTTTTTTGTGCTTAGCTGTGATTTGGCCACAGCTAATCACATGATACAGCTGGGCTGTGATTAGCCCAGCTCGTGCATGTGATCACTGTGACCAATCACAGCTACACACACTAGTATACAATGGATGGCATGAATGAAGCCATCCATTGTATACAACTGTCATGTGACCAGCTGTGATTGGTCACAGCAGGTCACATGGTATCGGCAACCGGGCCGGTTTTCAGATCTGTCATCGGCCGTGTCTGAGGTACACGGCCGGTGACAGATCTCGCCGTTGCGCGGCTCTGTAGGCGCGCACACTGCGCATGCCCGGGAGGACACCATATGGCGTCCACCCGGAACGCTAATGGATTTTGCACGCCGCCATTCAGCCATTGGCCAGGCGGCTAATGGTTGAAATATAACTAGTACAACATGTCAGGCTTATCGATCTTAGAATAATATTGTGTGGTTAGAGGAGGTAACAGTCAGCCAGGAGTTACCTGAGAAATAGGAGGATGCTGCGGGCCTGGAAGTCATCTTCAAAAAGGGGTAACAGAGGCTCCAGGAGAGCTGCTGGTAGTTTGTCAGCCTCATCAAATACAAACAAGGGCTGTGCACAACGAGAGGAAATCTCTATGATCTGCTTCTCCAGCTGAGCCTGAAAAGAATCCGAGACAAAATGTCAACATGCAGTCCAAATTACTTCAGGTACATAATCTTTCACTACTCATTACATCACATCAGTCTCTATATTCACATTTCATGCTCATAAATATCTCTACACATCCGTCTTCGAAGTGTGAATTTAGGACAGCTCAGTTGAGAACGTTTACAATTAGCCTTATCTATTAGTGTCTAAAATGAGATTTTGTCATCCATGGTAACGAAGTTCTTTACATTCTTCATCTGCCACTTTCAAGTATATGCTTGAAAATGACTGGCTTTCATGAAGGCAGCCCATTATTTTCCTAAGGGATTTTACATTCTTCCAAAAATCCAGACAAATATTCTATTGTATTCATTATTAAAAGTGATATTAATGGCAATTAAAAAAAAAACCCCACATGTCTATACTTAGAAAATGTATATTATATAGGGACCGCTTGTTGGAGCCCAACCTCTGTAGCTGTAGGATAAAGGTGTCAGATGGATATCAGGATATCAGGATGGATGGATGGATGGATGGATGGGGAGCAGTAACACTGAGGCAGCTCTTCTTAGAGTGGAAGCAAGGCTCTAATGCAGTAACATGTAAAAGAGAGGAAGGCGCCTCTAAGTGCAGTATTGACAATTTATTTAGTAAACAATGGATAAATTGCACTTACAAGATAAATAGTTAAAAAGACTCATCATGTGGTGTAATAAGATATAGATGGAACATCCAGCAGCAAACTGTCTATAGGATCAGGAAGTAGAGCCCAGGATGTGCCTGTGCATCAAAATGGGGCTTGGAGAGCAGAGTCGGATGTAGGAGGTGAAGGGGGCGGTAATGCATTTCAGAGCATGCTCAAAAGAGGTCTGAAGAAGGAGCCTATTGAGCATACTCTGAAATGAATTACCGCCCCCTTCACCTCCTACATCCGACTCTGCTCTCCAAGCCTCATTTTGATGCACAGGCACATCCTGGGCTCTACTTCCTGATCCTATAGACAGAGTTTGCTGCTGGATGGCTGGATGTTCCATCTGGATTTTATTACACCACATGAGTGTTTTTAACTATTTATCTTGTAAGTGCAATTTATCGTTTACTAAATCAATTGTCAATACTGCACTTAGAGGAGCTTCCTCTCTTTTACATGTCTATACTTACCTGAACCATGCAGTGGTTTTGTACAGAGCAGCCCTGCTCCTCCTCTTCTTGGGTCCCCCACCAGTGCTCATGGCCCCTACCCCCTGCTGAGTACACCCAGAGCAAGTAGCTTGCTATGGGAGCACCTATGCAGGCTCGCTCCTGAGCCGTGGCTCTGCGTGTCCTTTCACACTCGGAGCCGTGGCTTAGCCCCACTTCCTCTCTCCTCATTGGCTAACTAGCTGTGATTGATAACAATACCACTAAATTATGTAGAACAAAATGGGCCAATGGCTCCCACTGCTGTTTCAGCCAATGTGGAGGGAGAGACCCTGGAGGGCTGAGGCTCTCACGATGAAGCTTAGGTAAGTATTAGGGGGGCTGCTGCACATAGAAGGTTTTTTAGCTGAATGCATGAAGGTAAAAAACTTAGAGACTTTACAACCACATTAACTGTGCACATGGCAGCCTGGCATCACTGCTGCTAATTGTGATGCAGTGGCTTAGCATTATCAACCTGAAACAGGAAGTTCTGTTGCTGGCAGGATCTCCAGGTAAGCGCCTTTGCAACAGAGTCACAAAAAACAGTATATTGTAGAAAACTCTATACAGTGAGGCATTATGCCAAACATATAGAAAAATATTTACAGATTAAATGCTTTAAATTAGTCCTTCTCAAGCAGGGCTCTAGGGAACCTAAAGGCTACTAGGAGTTCCTTGAGCGACTTTTGACTCTTGTATTAACCACTGACAATTTGTTTTTTTTTTTTTTTTAGCTATCTGTAAGACGTACATTCTTTTCGCCAACCATCAAGGCGCAGTCTTCTCACATTGTAAGGGGCATTCTTCCCACTGACCACCAGCCTAGGGACTATTTTTTTCCCACTGACCACTAGAATAAATCATTCCTTCTCCAACTGACCACCAATCTACGGGAGCCTGTCTCCACTTTCTATGTAAGGAAGCATTGCACTGACCATCGACATAAGTTGGTGTTTCTCCACTGACCACTAATTTGAAGGTATACTACAGTTTTCACTGTTTTCTGGCCACGATTATTATTAGTTTCATTTCATTAATATTACTGAAAATTATTTTGTTGCATAAAGCAGCCCAGGGTGTTAAATACGCTAAGTACACCTCTTTCTTGATTCTTATACCTCAGCTTACTGTTCATAAAAATGTACTATGAGATGTTGATCTTTATCAGTAGGGGTTCCCTGAGACCTGAAAGTTATTTCAAGGGTTGCTTTATTTTAAAAAGTTTGAGTAAAGCTTTCTGCTTTTCAGGACTACAACAGATCATTGCACTCGAGCTTTCAGTTCTGCTTACTCATCATTGTGAATATTAGATGACTTCAAACTCCAATTTGAATCTTTTGTTTTAAAGGCATTAGATGAGGATTTAGGTCCATGAACTCCAGGAGGGAAAAGCCACAACTGTAGTTCCAAAAAGTCAGTAATTCAACTCCTTAGCTTTTACAAACCAACATGATATAAGGTTTGGGTAAATGTGGCATCTTTAGAGAATTACCTTGTATGCCTCCACGTGTGACTGGTGGGGGAAGTGCAGCTGTGGAATGAACACTTTGGTGCACCGGTTCCGGAGCCCATTCTGGTAAAGATTCTCTGCAATGATACGGGCAGCAAGGTTCTTTCCAGTGCCTGTCCATCCATGGAATGAGAGCACCAGGGACTTTTTAGACTGATCCTCCTGCAGGAACCTCTTAACAGAAGATAATATCTGCTTCACTGCCAGATGCTGGCCATGTACCCGCTGATCCAGATCCCACTGCAGGCCTGTGATAGGAAGAAAAATTGACATGTCAGTTTTTTTTTTTCTATTGTGTCCTCTACAGCATCTTTGAAATACCATGTTTTATCTTAGAAACTGCTGATTAGGAATGCTTTGACATCTTAGAAGGTTTTCATTACATCTGCTTTGCAGACCATCATTTTACAAAAGAATGCATTCTTTACTATCTACATCCAACCTCTTCCTTGCTTTTGAACTGACGGGTAGCTTCTTCTAATCCAGTGGTTCTCAACCTGTGGGTCGTGACCACTTTGGGGGTCGAAGGACCCTTTCACAGGGGTCGCCATCGGAAAACACATTTCCGATGTGTAAAGAACAGCTAGTGTGTAGAAAGCAGCTACAGTGTAGAAAGCAGCAGTATTGAAGGCAAAACGATACTTCATGAATTATAATTACTGGGTAAATAATTTTATGGTTGGGGGTCACCACAACATGAGGAACTGTATTAAAGGGTCGCAGCATTAGGAAGGTTGAGAACCACTGTATCTAATCTGTAAAGATTAAAGCTTGTGTGGATGGTCATGCTCTCCTTACCTGTGAGGTTGTTGATAATAGTCCCATGTGTAAGATCAGTGAGACTAGTGACTTTAGTGTACAGGTCAGACAGGGAATCCCATCCAAAGTTGTTCCAACTCCAGTCTGTAAAATAATATACAAGTCCATGCCATATTAGCACTTGGGTGATCAAAAGGATGTAAAGAACAAATCATTTAGGAACGTATAAACAGAAGGACTACTACATAGAAAGATGTTTGAAATGATTGCAACTTTCTTAGGCTAACGCTACACAGGACATTTGCTGTGATTAGTGTATCTTAAAGCAGAACTGATAATTCACATTTTTGAGTTGTCATCCCAGCAGGAAAGAGTGAAAATCTGCCAAAGCAGACATTTGTTGTGGTGGGAACTAAAAGAAATAAAAAATAAAGGCTTTAGAATAACCGCTTGCTGACAGCGCAGTGTAGCTTTACTGCTACAGTGCAGGCCGCTTGTGCAAAATTACGTGTATATATACACGAGTTTACTTTTCTGGGTAGGAGGCGCACACTGCCTGCCTACCTTTGCTCTCATTGGCTCCCTGACATACCGATCAGTGGATCCTGGCCAGTGATTCACGGCTGGGACCTGCCAATCATTGGAGCTAGTGCCAGGAGAGAGATCTGTGTGAGTAAACCACACAGATCTCTCTACTGACATCGGGGATGTGTTGGTTTTTGTCTCCTTGCAAAGCAGGGAGACAAAAGCTGTCATGTCGCCTAGTTAAACAGCACACAGTCAACACGTTACACGTACAGCCCTGGCCCAAAGTTTTGAGAATAACACAAATGTTATTTTTCACAAGGTCTGCTGTCTCAGTTTTTATGATGGCAATTTGCATATACTCCAGAATGTTGTAGTGATCAGATGAATTGCAATTAATTGCAAAGTCCCTCTTTGCCATGAAAAAGAACTGAATCCCCAAAAAATTAATTTCCACTGCATTTCACCCCTGCCACAAAAGGACCAGCTAATATCATCATGTCAGTGATTCTCTTATTAACACAGGTGTCATTGTTGACGAGGACAAGGCTGGAAATTACTCTGTCATTCTGATTGAGTTAGAATAACAGACTGGAAGCTTTAAAATGTGGGTGGTGCTTGAAATCATTGTTCTTCTTTTGTTAACCATGGTTACCTGCAAGGAAACGTGTGCAGTCATCATTGCTTTGTATAAAAAAGGATTCAAAGGCAAGGATATTACACTTAAATCAACCATTTATCAGATCATCAAGGAGAGAGGTTCAATTGTTGTGAAGAAGGCTTCAAGGCACCAAAGAGAGTCCAGCAAGTGCCAGGACTGTCTCCTAAAGTTGATTCAACTGCGGGATCGGGGCACCACCAGTGTATAGCTTGCTCAGGAATGGCAGCAGGCAGGTGAGTACATCTGCAAGCACAGTGAGGTGAAAACGTTTGGAGGATGGCCTGGTGTCATGAAGGGCAGCAAAGAAGCCACTTCTCTCCAGGAAAAACATCAGGGACAGACTGATATTCTGTAAAAAGGTACAGGGATTGGACTGCTGAGAACTGAGAAAAAGTAATTTTGTCTGATGAATCCCCCTTCTGACTGTTTTGGGCAACTGGAAAAAAATCTGTTCCGGAGAAGAAAAGGTGAGTGTACCATCAGTCCTTTGTCATGCCAGCAATAAAGAATTGCGAGACCATTCATGTGCGGCATTGCTTCTCAGCCAAGGGAGTGGACTCACAATTTTGCCTAAGAACACAGCCATGAATAAAGAGCAACTTCTCCCACCCATCCAAGAACAGTTTGGTGATGAACAATGCCTTTTCCAGCATGATGGAGCACCTTGCCATATGGCAAAAGTGATGACAAAGTGGCTTGGGGAACAAAACATTGAAATTTTGAGTCCATGGCCAGGAAACTCCCCAGCCCTTAATCCCATTGAGAGCTTGTGGTCAGTCCTCAAGAGGTGGGTGAACAACCCCCCCCCCCCCACTAATTCTGACAAGCTCCAAGCATTGATTCTGCAAGAATGGGCTGCCATCAGTCAGGATGTGGCCCAGAAGTTGATTGACCGCATGCTAGGGTGAATTGCAGAGGTCTTGAAAAAGAAGGGTCAGCACTGCAAATATTGATTCTTTGCATAAATGTAATTGTCAATGAAAGCCTTGACACTTATGAAATGCTTGTAATTATACTTCAGTATACCATAGTAACATAGGACAAAAAGATCTAAAAACACTGAAGCAGAAGACTTTGTGAAAATTAATATTTGTGTAATTCTCAAAACTTTTGGGCAGGGCTGTAGTGAGGGACATAGTTAACCCTTTGCCCCTGATGTTAACCCCTTCCTGCCTGATGTCAGTACATTTTATTAGCACTGATCACTGTATTAGTGTCACTGGTCATGGCAGTGTCAGAATGCCCCCCATACCATCACAGTCGTGCTATAAGCCACTGATCACCACCCTCACTAGTACCAAAAAATTTTTTTTTTAAATCCAGTATATACACACCATCATTTTGTAATAATTTTCATGTAAACCAATTCATATACTCAATTCATATATTCAAATCCCGTATAATAATAAATATACACTTATTGGGATTTTTTTGTTTCTCCAAAGATGTGGCAGAATACATTTTGGCCTAAATTTATGAAGAAATGTTATATTTAATATTTAAAGCAAAAAAAAATTTATATATATTTATTTTCAAACTTATGTGTCTTTTTTCATTTATAGTGCAAATAATTTTTTAAAAACCCAGTGGTGATCAAATGCCACCAAACGAAAGCTTTACTTTTGTGATGCAAAAAACAATGTAAATTTCATTTGTGTACAATGTTGCATGACCACAGCGCCATATAGCAAAACATGGCTGGGGCATGAAGGGGGTATATCTTCCAGAGGGCAAGTGGATAACTGAAAAGAAGAATGACCAGCATCAAAACACAACACAGGGCTCCCTATAGTGAAAGCTGCACACATTGTATAGCATGTAGTAGCAGGTGTTGCATATAAATGGAGAATTGAGTGATCATTCACGATTTATTGCATGCTACTTGTATAATTTATGTAATAATAACCCATTCATTATCTTTGAACTGCTTTTAACAGTTAAGTTCTATCAGTTTTAGTAGAAATGACCAGGGGCGGACTGATAACTCATGGGGCCCCCGGGCAATAGGGGATCATGGGGCCGCTGTGTCCTTGCCCAAACTCAAAAAAGCCTATGAAAAAGGTACCAGGGGCATCTCATGGGGCCCCCTACTGACCCCAGGCCCTCGGGCAGTGCCCGAGTTTCCAAATGGTCAGTCCGCCCCTGGACATGACCTAAGTGTGGCTCCAGTCTTAGACCAAGAAGAAAAGTATTCACAATGTGACAGCACTCACCTGCATGATCCTTTTTCATCTCTTCGCACTCTTCTGGCCAGAGCCAACACTGAAGTTCATGTACATACTCCAATGAAAGTTGGGCCAAGTTTTGCATTTCAGGAGCACCAGCAAACCATGGATTGTCCTCTCCTGCATCCTCAGTTGGCTGTGATAAACCCTGCTCAGTACAATGTACCAATGATGAGCTGATCAGTAGCAGCAATAGGGTAGTAGTTGTGTGCATGACAGCCATGTGCCTCATCGTAGTTGTGAATTTTAGATTCTATCCAATTCCTGCAGCTCTCTATTTTATGCTTTGCAACTAGGAGCGAGTTTCGTTTCCCAGTGCTAAGCACATCAACCCCCAGCTATTCTCTTTCACTGCTCTTGGATTCCAGGCTTCATTCATCACTCATTGCATCCTGTTCTACAAGGTAGCTTGGCCATGTCCTGCTGTCACTAATTATATTGACTTTTTCCTGTCCCCTCCCTTTGTCACGTCATTCTTTCTCCTCCCTCATACTTCAGGTATTCTAGATTTTCTTTATCTGTCACTAGTGTATGCTGATCAGTGACACTCCCTTGTAGTGACTGTCACTTTCCCACTGCTCAGTCTAGCAGCCGATGGGCAGGGCCTGTGTGTGAGCTCAGACTAGGCTAGTGCGATATTTCTGGATAGATCTGACTCATGGTTTGTTAACCCTGCCCTTATGAAAGCTTGCTGGAGCATATTTAAAGCAGTCACATTTTCCGTTCTTTTGAATGGAATATAATACACATGCTGGGAACAGTTACAACCTGTAAATGTGGGGAAGAACAGATCATTCAGACACTACATTTAAAGAAGCATTAAACCTAAAACAAAAAAAAATTACATTATGTCAAATGTTGAACTGATACAACTCAGAATTCTTTATGCGTGTACCAGGGGCGGACTGACAACTCATGGGGCCCCTGGGCAATAGGGGATCATGGGGCCCCTGTGTCCTCGCCCACACGCAAAAAATCCTATGAAAAAGCCAATGAAAGGTACCAGGGGCATCTCATGGGGCCCCCTACTGACCCTGGGCCCTCGGGCAGTGCCCGAGTGCTTGAATGGTCGGTCCGCCCCTGGTGTGTACCCCCTCTTTTAT